TGCACTGCCCTGAGGGGCTCGTTATCGCTGCCCAGGACAGATCATCAACACCTGGGGGCCTTCCTGTAGGCCCACGAAAGGGGGCGGAACCATATCTGCAAGACAAAGACCCCAGAAGGTTATAAAAAGCGAAGCCTCTGTGTGTTACTTCACTCTGATTTGGAAATTATTCCCGGAGTCCACTAGTGTTAATAAATGGGGTCCCTCCCTTTCTCTAGGATGCATGCTTGGTATTTCTTTGGTCTTCTGCAACACCCTGAGCATTTGTTCTCCTTATCAAAAGCCTGCCCTCAAGGGAAACTATTTACCGGAGCCTAAGCAATCTGGGGAAAAGAAATAGCTTAAAATTTGAAACCTCCTGGCCTTCCTGTCTCAAGGGGGAAAGTAGGACTTGTGAAGGTCACAGCCCAGGGGCACTGGCTCACTACAGAACAGCCTTAACCCTTTGAGTGCCAACCAATATCCTAGGAACTATGCTAAAATTGCCAAGGCATTTTTGCTGATTTTACAGCAGTTTAGGAAACAAATTATGAATCACAAGTAAATGAAGTTACATATTCAAAAACTTAAGGAAACCTTTACTACATTGACATATTTAGCAATATCATCATCACTAATAAAAGCAGACTTAGAACTGGGCGCCATTTTGAAGCTTTGATAGCACTCCTGGCAATTTTGGCAAAAGACAGGAGGAGCGCGCTCGTGCTCCCCAGCACTCTAGGGGTTAATCATTGGTCTATGTCCCCCCCTCCCCCTTCCCCTCATCAGGAGGAGGATTCCGTGAAAAAATGGCTCTAAGCTGAGATGCTTTGACTCACTGAGTCAGAGAAAGGGGGGCCTTGGGGACAGAATCGGGGGTTTGCTTGGGATGAAATGCCACTGTTGGTTGCTGCCCTGGTTGCAAGCCTCGTGGGGTACCTTAGAGTTTAGGAGATGCATGAAGGTGAGGGGGAGGGGTAAGATGCAGGTGTACTCTTGGGAGGGATAGCAAACGCTGGGACCTTCATTGTGGGGGGGTTTAAAGGTTGGACATTTAATCCAGCTGGCCTGGCTGAGTGGTGGAGCGTCGACCTATGAACTGAACCAGGAGGTCCTGGTTCGATTCCCAGTCAGGGCACATGGCCCAGTTGCAGATTCAATCCCCAGTGTCGGGTTTGCAAGAGGCAACCTATCAATGACTTGCCCTCATCATTGACATTTCTATATCTTTTCCTCTCTGAAATCAATAAAAATATATTTTAAAAAATAATAAAAAGGCTGGATGTTTAGGGGAGGATCTCAATAGAATATTCATCAGCTTTGTGCTGATGTACCAAAGTTAGATTTATTCTCTTAACTTCATCTGTCCGTGGGTGTGGCTGGTAAATGGCACTAACTGGATTTCTGCTTTCTCCCTTGAGTAGGGTGATTTAAGCTACTGACCTTCTGGTTGGGAATTGGGGGGAGTGCAAACCATTTACTCTTCAGTGTCCTTGGTTTAGGGAAGATAGGATTTCCTGGATGGGTGCAAACTGCTTGGCACCTAGATTTTCTACGTGGCTGCAAACTGCTGTTTAACTGTCTGTCTCAGTTTCCCTATTCCATTTTCCCTGGTTTACTAGCCTATCTCGAAAGCAGCTGCCGCCTGGGAGACACGGACTCAGGTAGCAACCTAAATTGCGTTCCCCAGGACTTAGGGGAGGACTCCTTTTCTACATTCCAGCCCATGTTGCCAATTACATCTGTTTTATGTAAATGAGATATTCAAATCGTGCAGCTTATATTGAACGGGCAGGTCTCAATCTGTTGATAAAAAGATAAAACCAGGGTTTCCCTGCAGTTGTTGACTCAGATGTGTAAACAATGGGCATAGGATGGGAAGCTGAGAGTTCAGTCTGAGGTTCTTCTGGGTATACAGAGTATGTGAGGTGCTCCTGTCAGCAAATCACTGGCTCTTTTTTTTAAATTAAATCTTTATTGTTGAAAGTATTGCATATGTCCCTCCCCCCATTGACCTCTTCTAGCCCACCCCACCCCAGGTCTTCACCACCTTATTGCCTGTGTCCATGGGTTATCATATATGCATACAAGTTCTTGGGTTGATCACTTTCCACCCACCCTTCCCTGTCTTCCCTCTGGCTCTTATTATTTATAAAATTTGGGCCCTCGACCTGGTTGGTGTTGCTCAGTGATTGAGGTTCAACCCAGGAACCAGGAGGTCATGGTTGGATTCCTTGTCAGGGCACATGCCTGGGTTTCTGGCTCAATTCCTAATAGGGGGCGTGCAGGAGGCAGCCAATCAATTATTCTCTCTCATCATTGATGTCTCTTTCTCTCTGTCCCTCTCCCTTCCTCTCTCTCTAAAAATCAATAAAGACATTTAAAAAAAAAAATTGGGGCCCTCAGTTGACCAAAGGAAGTCCAATCTCAGCAAATAAATTCCTTTCCAGGGTTCACATCAAACAAATGTTAATTCTCTGGGTCCACAGTGTTAATATTTAATGGCTAGAACAGTGTCAATTTTTTATTGACATTCATCTACTTGATAGAGCTGTTTACATTCTAACTGTAGGGGTTCAGAATGAGTCACCCCAAGATGTGTCACTCTGGCACACAGACTATTTCAAGCTGAAAACTATTAAAACTCAGACAGCTCAGGAAAAACTTTTGATCTTCCTGCTGTAGGCAGTTAGACAGAGAGGAGCAGAGCAAGAATGCTGAGTCAGGTACAGAAGGTCATGGGGTGGGAAGCCCCGTGTGCCTAGCAACGGACAATCAATTGTAGGGTGGGACCTTGCCTCCAGGGTGACTTTTCCTCCCCTATCACTGGTCACGTGGTTTGGACCCCCTGACCTTTCCTCCCTATGCCTCTGTATTTCTGCTCCAGGCCAAGATAAGCAACAAAACCAGCCATGGCTGACATTAGGACCAGCTGCATTGAATAATGACCCACTGCCCTGGTGCAGGCCAATCTGTCAATGTGATAAGCAGAACGGTGAGCCAAGGTGTTTTCCCGGGGTTGTGTCTCGTGACACTGAAGAATGACCTACAGGGACTGTGCTGGGCTGCATATCTGGCGCTTTGGCCAGATGGGTCATGCTGTACTCTCTGTCCTAGAACACATAGATAGGAAGGTACTGACATCAGGCCAGGCCTTGAGATATGGTCTCATGGCCCCTTCCCAGAACACAGGCCTTCTTTCTCAGAAGGCCCGGAAGTCTCATTCCAAATTTGGGAGACAAAGGACTGGAAAAAGTATAAATAAAGAGAGTTTCCTCCATATTGGGGGCCCAGAATTTGAAAGACACATTTTTCTCTGGGCCTCCACAGAATTTAATAATAAAATGTAACTCTTGTAGTCTGCGCTGCAGTTCAGCCTCTGCTTCGGCAGGGTGCTGTAACTGTAGTCACTGGCCAGCTCAATAAATCCTCACTTGCTGTTTAAGACCTAATTGGAGTTGGTGGTCTTATTCTCACGAATGTTGGTCCACAACAGGACCAGAAGATTTAAGCGTGGAAAACTTATTATAAGCAGATTCAAACTCCCCACAAGGGGAGGGGGACCCAATAATGGCTTCCCATTAAACCCTTGTAGCCCAGGGGTATATATTTGCTACAAGCCTGCTTCTATAGCCATCCCGGTCGTCACCTGATTGATTCCCTCAATTGTTTTTGCCCAGCAAGCAATGAACCTGAACTTTCCCTGTTTCTATGTGTTCTTCCTCTGTTCCTATGCTGAACTTTCTCTGTTTCTATGCTTTCATACACCTTGTTGCTGCAGGCCCTCCCTAGTTTCACATGCCTCTCACTTTGAGTCCAGAAACATTTTATTATTTCTGCTTGGTTGGTTCCTGTGGTTAGGCTGGCTCAAACTGCCATGTCAGCCCCTGCCTATGTTCCACCTGCCTTTGTTTTCCACTGGACCCCAGCCCTATCTGCCTGCCTTTCAAACTAACTCCTCTCAATTGGAGACTACAATCCTGAAAGGATGCACCTGGGAAACTGCTGAATAGTCCATTAGGATCTTTCCCTAGGACCTCCCCAAAAATCTCTGCCTTAAAACCTTACAGTTTGGGCTGGACTTTGAAATCTTCCTTGACAAACCCAAGTACTAAGGTTGCTGAACCCAATTTGATCTGACCCCACTGGTCAGACACATGGTGCCTTTCCCACCACCTACAACATTCCCCCTTATTTCCTAAAATAATTTAGACCAAGGACTTGCTCCAGGAAGAGAGCTATCATTACAGATGACTATCTACACTAATAAAAGAGAAACATGGTAATTAGCGTACGACCGCTACCCTTCCCATTGGCTAATCAGCATATCCTTATGCAAATTAACTGTCAGCCAAGATGGCGGCAGGCAGCCAGGCAGCTGGAAGCGAACATGAGGCTTGCTTGCTTCAGTGACTGCAGACTCCAACGTTCCCCGCCTGACTTGCCGGCCTCTGAGTTGCAACTCTAAGCAACTATGTACTATGTTGCAAATAAGAAGCTAAACAAAACCCCAGAAACCAGCTTTCAGCCTGCCGGGATCTCAGAGCTGAAGTTATACATTGTTTCGATTATAGAACTGCAAACAAACCAGATAGGAAGCCTCAGAGCTAGAGCCAGAGCTAAAGCTGGCCCAGAATAAAATAAAAAGAGAGAAAAAAAAGGAGCGGTTGGGAGCTTCAGTCAACAACCACCAGCCTGAAAGCAGCCCTCAGCCCCTCACCCAGACTGGCCAGGCACCCCAGTGGGGACCCCCACCCTGAAGGGTGTGTGACCA